CCTGTAAAGGATGTCAGGCTGAATACCTACTGCGGTTATATGCAACAAATATCACCTACCATTATATATTTACCATGAAATATTAAAACATATAAGCCTACCATAATCAAGAGTGAGATATGTTTATATGTAAATACATTACTAGTACACAAGAGTTCTAGAAACTGATACAGGTATTTATAAGAATTGTTTTTTAAATACAGGTGCAATTCCAATTCAGTGTGCCAGTTAATTTATCAGTAAGTGGTACTAAAACAATTAGCCATGTTTTCTGGAGGAAAAAATGTGACTGGATCCACTACCACACACTACATGTCAAAATACATTCCATGCAGATTAGAGATTTAAGTGTCTTTAAATATATTTAAGAAGAAAATGATAAAATCCAAATACGATCTGTAGCTTGAAGAGACTTTTAAAATTAAAGCAGGATGGGCGCCTGGGTGGCTTAGTGGGTTAAAGCCTCTGCCTTTGGCTCGGGTCGTGACCTCAGGGTCCTGGGATCGAGCCCATTGGGCTCTCTGCTCAGTGGGGAGCCCGCTTCCTCCTCTCTCTCTGCCTGCCTCTCTGCCTACTTGTGATTTCTGTCAAATAAATAAATAAAATCTTTAAAAAAATTAAATTAAAGCAGGAAATGCAGATAGTCTTTTTGGGGGTGCTTGGGTGGCTCAGTCGGTTAAGGGTCCAACTCTTGGTTCTGGCTCAGGTTGATGATCTCAGGGTTGTGGAATCATGCCCTCCATTGGGCTCCTTGCTGGGCAGGAAGTCTGCCCAGTCTCTCCCTCTGCTCCCCATACTCTCTCATAAATAAAATCTTAAAAAAAAAACACCCCTAGACTCCTTCATCTACATAACACTTAAACCTTTGTACAGATGGCCTGAAGGGCAGGGTGTGAGGCATGCAGGAGGGAGAGGGCCTATAGGGGCTGGGGCAGTTCTCAGGAGCTTGACGGTCACAGTACTGCAGCCCTGGGATCCTGGCATTTTTTAGCATCTGTGAAAGCTTCCTTGTAATTCATTTCCTCTCACTACAGTATTAAGAATTATACCAAATTGAAGGGCGCTTGGGTGGCTTAGTCGTTAAGCATCTGCCTTCAGCTTAGGTCATGATCCCAGGGCTCTGGAGTAGAGCCCCGAATCAGGCTCCCTGCTCAGCGGGAAGCCTGCTTCTCCCTCTCCCACTGCTTGTGTTCCCTCTCTCGCTGTCAAATAAATACATAAAATCTTAAAAAAAGAATGATACGAAATGGAAAAAATATGAATGAATATCGTAAAACAAGAAAAAGTAAGACATTTCACTCTTCTTGTCACTCAGATTCCTCTGGAATAAGCAGAATTGCAGACGAATTCAATGGAATGTTTTCTGTTCAGTTATAGTATTTGTTCTATGAGAAAACCAGACTAAAATATTTTGACAACAGAACGGATGACTCTGATAAAGAGACATCAAATGATTTGCCAAAATTTACAGATGTAATCAAGACCAGAAATAGAAATCCTAACTACCTTGTTCCCAGTCCTGTACTGAGAATTCTAGACCAAACTGCCTTTTGTGGGGGAAAAAAAAAAAAAATCTGCTGATACTGAAATTTGTGATGAAGAGTGTGACTTATCTGAATTGGCCAACCAACAAACTCAAGAGGAGAGTCCTATAGAAGTTCACACTGCTGAAGATGTTCTAACTGTTGCAGAAGTGCATGCAACTTCTGGAGATTACGATTTGGAGACAGAAAACAATTCTTCTGAGAGTCTCTAAGACCAAACTGATGAGGAGCCACCAGTTAAAGTTTGCAAAATTTGTGACAGGAGCCAAGCGTTGAATGGGCCTGCCCAGCAGAACTGGCTTTTACTGACAGCTAATAGCAGTGACTTCTATAAATGCGAACTTTAGGGGCGCCTGGGTGGCTCTGTGGGTTAAAGCCTCTGCCTTCGGCTCAGGTCATGATCCCAGGGTCCTGGGATCGATCCCCATATCGGGCTCTCTGCTTAGCACGGAGCCTGCTTCCTTCTCTCGCTCTGCCTGCCTCTCTGCCTACCTGTGATCTCTGTCTGTCAAATAAATAAATAAAATTCTAAAAAAAAAATGTGGGGCGCCTGGGTGGCTCAGTGGGTTAAAGCCTCTGCCTTCGGCTCAGGTCATGATTCCAGGGTCCTGAGATCAAGCCCCGAATCAGGCTCTCTGTTCAGCAGGGAGCCTGCTTCCTCCTCTCTCTCTCTCTGCCTGCCTCTCTGCCTACTTGTGATCTGTCTGTCAAATAAATGAATAAAATCTTTAAAAAAGTGCGAACTAAAATAAATAAATAAATAAATAAAAATAAAAATAAAAAAGTGCGAACTTTGTGAGTTCAACAGCAAATATTTTTCTGCTATAAAGCAGCCATATATGATGCTGAAGCACAAAGGTACTAATTCAAATGTGTTGAATATGCAAGGAAAGTTTCTCTATCAACATGCTTCTGATTAAACACATCAAACTGCATGAAGAGGATCCCTACATTTGTAAATACTGTAATTATAAAACACTGATTTTTGAGAACCTTGGCCAGCACATTGCAGACACCCATTTTAGTGACCTTTATTGCTGTGAGCAGTGTAATGTAGAGTTATCTTCAAGCAAAGGCTACCTACATTTCCAGGAGCACAGCTGTGATGAATAGTACTAGTGTCAGTTTTGTAAACATGAAACCAATGATCCAGAAGACTTGCAAAGCCATGTGGTAAATGAACATGCATGTAAATTAACTGAGTTCTAAGTATAACAATGGAGAACATGGACAGTACAGCCTCTTTAGCAAAATAATCTTTTCTAAAAAATATATGGGGCGCCTGGGTGGCTCAGTGGGTTAAGCCTCTGCCTTTGGCTCAGGTCATGATCTCAGGGTCCTGGGATCAAGCCCTGTGCATCGACCTCTCTGCTCAGCAGGGAGCTTGCTCGCCCCCCCTCCCCGGCCCCCCCATCTCGGTCTGCCTCTCTGCCTGTGATCTCTGTGTCAAACAAATAAAATCTTTTAAAAATATAGTTTATTTATTTATTTTGAGAGAAGGCATTTTGCGGGGAGGGGCAGCAAGAGAAGGAGAGTGAGACTCTTGAGGAGACTCCCCACCGAATGCAGAGCCAGATTTAGGCTCAATCTCATGATCCTGAGATCATGACCTGAGCCCAAATCAAGAGTTTGATGTTTGACTGAGCTATCCAGGCACCTACAAAATTCCCTTTGACAAATATAAAAACTTCTTTGTATGTCAAGTATGTGGTTTTCAGAGTAGACTCAGTATGCATGCTAACAGGTATGTTGCTATTGAACATACTAAAATTCTTCCTCATGCTTGTGATAATTGTGAAAATGAGTTTTCAAGTATGCGAGAATACTGCAAACATATAAATTCACATTTACCTGAAGGGATTTATTTATGTCAATACTGTTAACATTCAACAGGACAAATTGAAGATCTTAAAGTTCATTAGATTTCAAGCAATCAGCTCACTCACTTTTAACCCTAGTGACTGCTAGATGGGGTTTGGAAATGAATGAATTAATAAGTCACCTTCCCGTTCGTGAGACAAATTAATTATTTTCTTTAACTTCCATAACGTTGATGTAAACTAATAAATTTGGCATTTTTGGTGATGTTAAAGAACAATTAAATATTTGTACAATTAAAGATGAAACATTAACACAGCAAGAGAGGTTATCAATTCAGTCGATGCATAAAACACATTTGATGATGCGCAAGAACAAGACGTTTCTCTTTTTATTGATGAACAACTGACAAACAAGGATTAGTTTCAGGAGCACACAGTGATTTGACACATATACACGTCATGATATGGTCACCACAATGTCTAGTTTACAGCTGTTACCATACAAAGAATGGTGAAATGTTACATTGACTGTATTCCATATGCGGGTCCATGACATCTCCTTACTTATTTTACAACCGGAAGACTGTACTTCTTCTTCTTCTTTTTTTTTTAAAAGATTTTATTTATTTATTTATTTGACAGAGAGAGAGAGAGAGAGAGAGAGAGAGAGCGCACAAGTAGACAGAGAGGCAGGCAGAGAGAGGGGGAAGCGGGCTCACTGCCGAGCAGAGAACCCGATGCGGGGCTCGATCCCAGGACCCTGAGATCATGACCTGAGCCGAAGGCAGAGGCTTAACCCACTGAGCCACCCAGGTGCCCCAAGACTGTACTTCTTAATCTCCTTCACATACTTCGTCCATTACGCCCCCACTTCCCTCCCCTAAGTCCTGAATAGATGGGATCACCCAATCGTGTTAAAAAAGATCTCTATTTACTGCAAAAACGCCACCCAATAACACTCAAAATAAAGGCCTAAAAATGGGATGGACCGCTGGGTTCTCGCGCTTATCGATAAGGAACGACGACCGTACAGGCTCTAGGAACTGCGGGGAGGGAGACACGAAACCTTTCACTGAGCAGGCCGTTGGGTTTGCCCAGGGGTGTCCTCCCACCGCGCAAACTGCAGCTGGGGCTCGCCCCACGCCACCCCGGCCCGCCCAGCGCACGGGTCCCGCCGTCAGCCCGCAGCCGCGCCCACTTACCTGGTTCCAGCCCCCGCCGTGACCTCCCGGCCGCATTCCGGCCTCAAACCTAGCCGCAGCCCAGCCCGCCATTCAGCTGGCGAATGAGGGAGCCACAGTTCTGCGGTCTGAAGTAGAAGCCCCGCCCCTCGAACCCCCGGCAGGAAGCGGAAGTGGCGTCACACGCCCGCCGGGGTCTCTTCCGGCTGCCTCCTCTGGACGGCGTTCAGCCCTTGGGGATGGTAGTGGTCAGCTGTGGGCTGGCTGTGGTAAGGGTGGCGTGAAGAGGAGTGAAGGAGGAGGGAACGCAGGGACCGGTTTAGTCAGGGTCGCGGATGGGCCTGCTGAGGGCCCGGGCCGCGCGGTGCGCATCCGCCTAGATCGGCTGAGAGGCCACTGAGGCCGGCGGTTCCCGCCCCGAGCCGCTGTGGACCTGCTGCTGTGAGGTCGCTTCCGTGGGGTCTTTTGTATCCACTGCGCAAGCAGCCTTTGTGACTTTTCTTAAGGAGGTAAAGAATTTCAGCTGTTAGGAGGGACCCAGACTCCGCCTCCTCGGGGACCTGACTGGTGAGCGTTGGGAAAGTTGGTTCACAAGGGCTTGCGTTTTCTTTTCGGGCGGAAGAGAATGTGGCTTTGTCACGCTCGTCCTTTATTTTGGACACACTGTGTCTTAGTCGGAAAGTAATATGCTTTCTCGGACGTCAGTAGTGGGCATATTTCAGAAGCAGGTGATACACGCGTGCGCCACAAGGGTACTACAGAGAAGCAGTTTTCACCTACCTTAACATCCTTCCCTCCTGAACCCGTCCATCCCCACCAGGTTTCAAACTAGGGGACCCCTGGAGAAAAGATTGGAGGCTTTATTACCCCACTTTTAAATAATTGAATTTCACAATTACAGGACGTTTATTTTCCCGACATTTTTGTTTCCAAAGGTCTTAACCTAAAGGAAATGTAAATACTACTGCAATGAATGTGGTCGAAGTCGGTTCGCCCATTTTCGCATTTTGCATGGTTGCGCTTTCTGGATAACGACATGTATTGAGAGTAAAAAGGAAATAAATTGCAGGCGTGATACTTGACCTTTAAATACTCGGTAGTGTTGGCGCCTGGGTGGCTCAGTTGGTTGAGCGTCTGTCTTCGGTTCAGGTCATGATCCCGGGGTCCTGCGATCGAGCCCCACAGGGCAGGGAGTCTCCTTCTCCTTCTGCCTCTGCCTGCTACTCCCCCTGCTTGTGCTCTCTATCAAATAAATAAATAAAACCTTTTTAAAAAGTTAAAAAAAAAAAGACCTGTGATGTATCTCCTAAGTATAAGGACATTTTGCTACTAAAACGATAATACATTGATTTCACCCCAGAAAATTAAAAATGTTAACTGATACCTGCTCTGTGAAAACTAAAATCCTATACATTGTCTCAAAATGTTTTTGAACATTTTTGGATCTAGGACTCAGTTAAGGTTTATATGTGACAATATATATGTTTATGTCTCTTAGTTGCTTTTAAGCTAAAGCAGAGCTATTGTTTCTTCAGAATACTGACTTGGAAGAGTCATATGTTCTTTGAGAAACTCATACTTTTGATATTTGCGATTTTATTTCCATGATGTGTTTAAATGCTTTGTTCATCTTGTAATTTTGTAATATGGTCATTGGGTCCGGTATAGAGGTTGGTAGACTTTGTGTCAGAAAAGGCCAAGGTAGTAATGTAACGGGGGGCTCAGGGGTGCAAGAGCATCTGTCTCTGGGGCTCTAAAACAGACCAGGTTCGGCCACTGGTCGCTGACAAAATCAAAGACGAGAGGGGCGCCTGGGTGGCTCAGTGGGTTAAAGCCTCTGCCTTCGGCTCAGGTCATGATCCCAGGGCCCTCAGATCGAGCCCCGCATCGGGCTCTCTGCTCAGCAGGGATCCTGCTCCCCCCCCACCGCCAGCTTGTGATCTCTGTCTGTGAAGTAAATAAATAAAATCTTTAAAAAAAAGAGAGAGAGAAATGAGTGGTGGTGAAACAAGGTAGAAATACATGTCAGTGAGGCCAGTACCAGGAAGAGAGGGAACTAGTGTCTCAAAGATGGTCATCAAAGTTCTGAAAATACTTCCAGTTTTTTATAAGGCGCATGTGGGACAGAGGTCAGCGGGTACCTGCAGGTGAGCAAAGATCAGGGCCATCATTGCCTTGGAGTCAGTCACATGGGGTCTTGCTAGCTCAGGGCAGTCCTTAAAGCTTGAGTAGGAAGTTTCAGTTCCCATCAGAGATGCTTTGCCCTTTTGGACTTTTGCCTGAGTTAAGGGATGAGCTGTAAAGAAGACCTTAATCAATTGGAAAGTTTGAGGCCAAAATGGAGGAAGTTGCAGTCCTCTTTCAGTGACTACTTTATGATTTGTTGGCCAAAAGGCCTGGAATTACTCAGCTCTGCTTTTGTAGTGCACAGGCAACCATAAACCTTAATAAATGGATATGGTTTTGTTCCAGTAAAACTTGATTTCCAGAAACAGCCCTGTGTTTTATAGTTTGCCAGCTATTCAGGTCCAGAAGCTTCAAAAGATCTTTCACAGACTACCTTGTGGGTGATTTGTACTTCAGATTATGTTGCATAAAGGAGTTATAATGTGGGGCGCCTGGGTAGCTCAGTGGGTTAAACCTCTGCTTTTGGCTCAGGTCATGATCTCAGGGTCCTGGGATCGAGCCCCGCATCGGGCTCTCTGCTCAGCGGGGAGCCTGCTTCCCCCTCTCTCTCTGCCTGCCTCTCTGCCTACTTGTGATCTCTCTCTGTGTTTCAAATAAATACATAAAGTCTTTAAAAAAAAAAAGGAGTTATAATGTACATCAAGTATTTTATTTCCCTCACGGTCCATAGTAACTACTGCTCAAATTTAGTTATAATCTCACGAAAATCAGTTACCTAAAGACTAAATTGTAAAGTTATCCTGTAATAACTTGTGTATTAATGAAAACGGGAAGGATATAGGTGCAACTAATCTTTTGAAGCATTAATCTTTGTATCTCCTCCTGCAATGTTGGTATTGTTTCTGGATTATATTGTCCAGTGGTGGGGAATTTCAGGATACTCCTTTCAGCTTTTCCTATCATAATGGTCCTTACCCTATGGGTCAGAGATAAGGAAATACTGCTAGTTGCCAAAAATTCCAATTATATATTTAGGTTTTAGGGAAAGAAATAAACACAGGGTGGGTGCTTGCTGCAGCTGGGTCCAGTCTGTGTTCACTGAAGGTTGATTTTTTTTTTTTTTTAATTACCTCCTAAGTCTCTGCTTTGGTGGTGTGCCAGAATGATATTTTGGATCCTCAGGAATTATTGTCCTCTTAGAGACTGTCTGAATATTTCCTTTTCCCCCATACATAGTCACTTGTAAATGACTGTACATCCTTTTATGAAGAGCCTGTAGGAAGGTTTATAGTGTGACTAGTGGTGATGATGCAAGATCCTTCCTTTGATGAAGGAGTCCCAAGTTTGTGATGTTGTTGGGTAGGCAGCTGTGATTTTCCACTGTGGTCAGTCAAATCTGAGTTTTGGTTACTGTACTTGAGGTTTCTAGTTATAGACATCAAATAAAATTCTAGTACATAGGTTGGCAAACTGAACCCTAGGCCAAATCTGGCTCTCCACCTGTTTCTGTAAATACAGCTTTAGACAAACTTAACCATACTCGTTGGTTTACATTTTTTAAAAAATATTTTACTCATTTATTTGACAGAGAGCACAAGCAGAGGGAGAAGCAGGCAGAGGGAGAAGCAGGCTCCCCGCCGAGCAAGGGAGCCTGATGCAGGGCTCAATCCCAGGACCCTGGGACCATGACCTGAGCCAAAGGCAGATGCTTAACTACTGAGCCATCCACGTGCCCCTGGTTTACATATTTTCTATGGCTTCTTTGAAACCACAGAGACAGACTTGAGTTTATATAGCACAGATGGTATTTGGCCTGCTATGCCTGCAACGTACTATATGGACTGGTAGAGCAGGTTTGTTGAGCTCTGCTAGAACAGGTTGCATATCTGTTTCATTGCAAGGGACCAGTTAGGCTGGGATCAGTTAGCCAGTGCTAGTGATTTCTGCAGGCCAGAGCACTCTGATTCCTGTTTCATTCCCACTGCTCTTGACAGTTCACATACCTACTTTGTCTATGGCAATTAAGTGCTGCCATATTGCAGGATAAATCCAGTGCCACATTGCTATCTCCCTGGGATTTGCCCCTTCACATTTTGTGGTGGAATTTCTGACGTTTGAGCTCATTACTGTAGGTCACCATCGAGTCTATGGTACCATCCAAGCAAGTAAGCTGTTGGAGCTTTCCCTGCGTCCATGAGGTAGTATATATTAAACCCAGCCCGTCATTATAATAAGTCCCCATGTCAATGAATTTGGCCCAGTTTATTGTTATATTCCACACTTGAGGGTCTGGCATGCTTACAGTTTATTCCCCGACAGGGTACTCAGGTTTCTTCTACATATTATAGTAGTTGGAACTGTTTTGTTGTACAAGCTATTTTATCTTGCATTGACTTGTATCCCTGTTACCCTGGACTATGAATTCATTATGCCACTAGAGGCAGTAGCAGGTAGTTTGGGTGGATCTTGAAGAGAAGGAGCATTTCCTTCTAAGACTTTTGCCCCTAGTGAGAGTTCTTCGGTATTTTTAAGCAGAGGAAGGCTCATCTCAGAAACCAAAGGGCAGGAGACTTCCTGTTGAGGGAGAGTTGGTGTCTTGTGGATTTGAGATTGTGACTTTCATCTTGGTCTGACTCAGTGTCCCCATTCGTTTTCAAATCTCATTCTTCCCTTATCAGTGCCCTAATTTTCACATGAACAACTAGTTGATATAGACACTCTAATTGTGGTTGTAATTTTACCTGTGCAGTTAAATTTCATGTTTGATTTTCAGCGGTGTCAGTCCTATGGCCACAAAAAATGTCCTTTTTAAGAGCTGTCTTGAGGCTTTGTGATTATCAGACCTTGATACGAGCATGCCATTTTCTGTGCAACTCTAGTCATAAGACTCTGTCTCTCACCACAGTCTTTGTAATCATTACTGAGGTAACAGCTAAGCCTAGCATTCACTTGGATTCCCAAGGCAAGTGTTTCTGTGTACATCTTCCGAGTGAGCCATAGCACTCATAATGCAGCTGAGTGTCTTTCAAGGAGCTCGGCATCTGGCTCCAGACAAAGACTTGATGAAATCAACCCCCACATCTCATCTACTCTGTAGATAGCATTTGGGCTGCTGTTCTTTGTTGAATTTATTAGAGAGAGTCAATAATGTTCAACACAGGAGTTGTCCTTTAAGCTGTATCAGGTTAAGAGATAGAAGGAAGCCTTATTAAGAAAGGAATAAAAATAAAATAAAATAAAAGCTTGGTGAAAAACAGAAGTTATAATAATAAGGAAGTTCTGTGAAAGACTCCTAAAAATAGATCACTGACAGGCTGATTTGGCATTGCTCCTTTGCCAGGGCAAGGGGCAGTAGGCAAACTTTGATTGCTTTGAGCTTCAATCAAGACCCTCCTGTTGAATACTTGAAGAGTCTTCTGAGTTTTCTAAAATCCTTGCAGCATTATTTTTCTTAAAATTTTGGGTCCTATTTAGAACAGCCTTCCCTTTTTCTGTCATATTACCCAAGAAGCAAACCAAAATATTTGTGTATACATTTGTATTTGTATATAGGATACTCCTTATTTTTTCACCTATTTGAGTTTTTGCTTCATAAGCACCAATAAACGGATGTGTCCATTAATAATTGAATATTTTGTCCCTTGGGAATAATGGGCCATTAAGCCCCGGAACATTTTCTGTATATTTCACTGTTTTCTGCATAATGCCTAGGACAGGACCACAATTTCTTAATTATTTATGGAAAGAAGGAAAGAATAAGCCTATTAGATAAATGAAAAGGCAGTGCAGGGCTCCAAACAACTCTCAGCTCCATGAAGTGAAGCTCAAGGGTGTTACCAAATTAAACACTTCATTTTGCTCCTCTTCATAATATCCAGCAGTATTCTAGGCCAGTGCTGGTGAATGGAAATATAATGTGTAGGCCAAGTATATGATAAAAGCTTTTCTGTAACCGCAATAAACAAAAAAGAAGGAAATCTTATGTAATAATATACTTTATCCCATCTATTGAATATATTTCAGCATGGAACCCCATATAAGAATTGAAGTATTTTAAATTCTTTTCATACTAAGTATTCAGAATTCACTGGACACAAAATTTTCATCAGATGTATTTTATGTGTTTGGATCATGTAATAAATACAGTTGAGAAAGATGTATTTAAGTTTATGGAAACATTTAAGTTTTCTAATAAACCTGCAAAAAGTTTAAAATTTAAAATTTAATTAAAAATAAATAAAATCTAAAATCTTGTTTTGCTAACTGCATATCAATTGCTCAATGGCCCATGTGGCTGCTGGCTACCAGAATGGACAAGGCAGGTCTTGAATGACGTCTGCTCATATTGGGCAATAAGAACCTTAGGATCTCAAACATTTGAGAGAAGCCTGTCTGCATTCAATTGTGGATCTCTTTTTTTTTCATAATTGGATAGTATCGGACCAGTGATTAGTGTTCTGTGAATCTAGCTTTATCAGCTATTAAATAGGGCAGATGATATCTACTGTAAAGGGTTGTTAACAACAATTAGGTGAGCTGATATACGTACAGCTCCTAGTAAGACAGATATCTGTCATATGCCTGTTGTAAGGAAATGGTAATGGCTATTACTGACTTTCATACCAAAGGTTATAACATTTTTAGTGAATTTCCCGTATATCCTCTACTGAGAGAGAGCTAATGTATGATGTTTGATAATGGATTAGTAATGCTTACTGATTGATGATTGATATGAATGAAAGATACTCTGGGTAACATTGTGCCAAGAGTAATGAAGACTGCCGTATTTACTCAGATTCTTAAGTTGCACTGAAGTGATCTTGGCATCAGATTTCTCACCAGGCAAACTTCATCACTCTCCCAGGATGGCAGCCGTTGATCTGAGCCATGGTAAGTCAGTGTTGATTCTCATTTTCAGACGATTCTTAAAGGTCACCCCTACACAGTATAGGGCCTGGATCTGGGTCTAGGCAGTCAGGCTGCTGGTTCACTTAGAAAGAGCTGAAATAGGCCAGAGAATGCTGTTACCTAAGTCAGCTTCCTGGTGTGTGTGCTTTGGGACTTGGTGCTGCATAATCCCATTGATGAATTTTATTATCTTGGGCAAATAAAGAATTGGATTTCCCAGGGGTTGGGTTTCCATATCTGTAAAATAAGGTGATGACCCCTTTCCTTGTGGGTGGTATGTCTAGCATGTCCCTTTTATGGCTCTGGGTGAGGGAGGGCTACTCTGATATTTTATGGCATTAGTGTGTATTTCTGTGAGATTTCTTGAGTGTACAGGAATATATGGAAATCTCAAACTAGGACGGAATGATTTTTCAGGTAGGTGATTCTGGTTATGCTGCATTCTTTTTTTTCCTCTAGATCTTTCTAGAGATCCTTTTTATCTGCCTGAGGAAAAAACAGAGGCAGAAAGGATGGTGGCTGTCTGGCTGAAAAATTATCAACAGGTAATTAAAAAAACATACTAATCAACGGAATACCATACTTACATCCATCAGGTGGATACATTCCTTCTAGGCACATCTGTGTTCTGAGCTTCCTAAAGCAAATAAACTCTGTACAAGGACTGAATCCCCAGTTGCATTTTCCCTGGAAGTGGAAACTCATACTGAAAAGGGATTACTCTGAAAATAATCTTAGTATTTCACTAATCACCTATGAACCTCATGGATAACAGGTACATAGTTCCACCTTGCTGTGTTCTGACATGGTAAGGAGGGTTTAAGTATCTTTTTCAATGAATTTAGTCATTCTGTGCTGTTTATCAAGGATCTTTAGTGTGCTTAGAAGTCTACTGCAATGGAGGGAAATAAGAACTCCTACTCTGGTTTTTCTGAGATAAGCTTAAAAGGTGCCATTAAAGTCGTATGAGTGGAGATGAGCAGTGAGTGAGTTTAGATGGGAAGAAGAGGACCTGGGACCACAGAACCGTGGGAGGATAAAGAGAAATCTCCTAGACCTGCATAGGTATTGAATCTCCTGTCCTCATTCTCCCGTGAACGTTGGTGGAGATGTTTCTTGTCTCAAGCCAACATGTGTGTGATGGTTTAGATTGCAGTGACCTTCGAGGATGTGGCAGTGGACTTCACCCAGGAGGAGTGGCTATTACTGGACCTTACTCAGAGAAACCTATACAGAAATGTGATGCTGGAGAACTACCAGAACCTGGTAGCAGTAGGTAAGTCTGCCAACATTCCAGATGTGTGTCATATACTTAATGTGCTTCCAGCCTTGGTGATGCCCTCTGAACATAATTGGAAAAAAGAGACACATAGTCCCTGCACTAGCAGGTTATCGTCTGCAATGCGTGTTCTGTAAATGTGACCCTCTGTTTGGGAATTTACATTCTTAGACTCCACTTCTGACATTCTGAGTTATAAAGCTGGGGTTGTCTCCCCATCTTCTGTATTTCAGTAAGCCATCCTGCTGATTGTGATGCACTCCAGCGTTTGAGGACCACTCCTGTAGTGGTTTCCCCATCAGAATGAAGATCTTTCATCATCTTAATTTCCTATTTGAGTACCTTTATGCTCTGTAAATATGTATATACATTCAAATTTGGCTTTCAGGTGTCAAGAGATAACTTATCTCTTGTCACAGAAGGGGAGTACTTGCCTCTTTTGGTCCTTTGGGGATAATTTCATGGCTTTCATTAGAAATATAGTCTTAGATTCATTGGAGGCTTTGTCTTCTCTTGCATGAGCCTCTCCTGTTAATGTACCTTTTCCTGTGGACAGAATATCAACTGTCGAAACCTAAGCTGATCGCTTGGTTGGAACAAGAGTTGAGGACAGTGGAGATGGGAGTTTTCCAAGGTGAGTGCTGTTAACAGGCCTAACTGGTCATTCTGAAGGATGGCATCTTTGCAACTTTAATGTGTAAAATTTTAAGATACATTGGTCTCAGAGGGATGAAACCATTTACCTCTGATGTTTGGGATATCTTCAGGTTCCTTCAGTCTTTTACTTAAAATTCCTATGATCTCACAAATGACCTGTTCTGACTCTTTATCATTTTGGTGTATCCTCCTTGTCCAGGTATTTTTCACATGTCTACTTGGTAATAGATTACCTTGATAATATTTTGTTATTGTTTGACATCTTACTTGATTTTCAGAAAATTATTTTTTAGTAAGCCACTGAAGTCTGTCCCTACACACTTATTGTCATATATTCCCCATAAACAAACAGGTGAACCTTTTTTCTTGTTATTTCACCATTTTTAATATGAAAATAAGTCTTAATTTAATGAGTCTTAATTTAAAATTGTTTAGTGGTGCCTGGGTGGCTCAGTCATTAAGCATCTGCCTTTGGCTCATACCATAATCCCAGGGTCCTGGGATTGAGCCCCACATAGGGCTCCCTGCTCAGCAGGAAGCCTGTTTCTCCCTCTTCCATTCCCCCTGCTTGTATTCTCTCTCTCTCTTGCTGTCTCTCTCTCTGTCAAATAAATAAAATCTTTTTTTTTTTTTTTAAGATTTTATTTATTTATTTGGCAGAGAGAGAGCATAAGCAGGGAGAGCTGCAGGCAGAGGAGAAGGGAGAAGCAGGCTCCCTGCTGAGCAGAGAGCCTGACATGGGACTTGATCCCAGGACTCTGGGATGATGACCTGAGCCAAATGCAGACACTTAACTGACTGAGCCACCCGGGCGCCCAAATAAATAAGATCTTAAAAAAAAAAAAAAATTGTTCAGCCTATGATTTCTTCCTGCAAATATTTAAATTTGTGTTTTATTTTACTTTAGAATGGGAAACACAGCCTCAAACGAAAGGATCAGCATCTCACCAGGAATTTTTTGGAGGAAAAACAGCCATTGAAATACAGAAAGTAAGATTGATATGTGATATTTCTTATATTCCACATTCAAAAAAGATTGGTGGTCCTGTTAAAAAATTCAGTGCAAGTGTGAGATACTTGAGACAAATGGCATTCACCAAAGACAGTAATTCGGAGATACTCTGAATATGACGACTTGGCATTTATAATCCAAATCTATCTTGAAAATTGTTGCTCTCTAGATGCCACAGGTACACATTCCCAGATATGTAACTTGTCATTGAATCTTTAAACATTTTCGTGAAATTTTAATAGAATGATCTTAAGAGTAGATGGCGTCAGTTTTTGGCAGACAGGTTCCCTGGTTTAACTTGAAAGAAATCAACAGGACCTGTATTTATGTAATGAAAATGCTAAGAGTCATATCATCACCATGTTTCTTGCATTATAAGGTTGAAATTTATCAGCAGTCTGAAAATTCTGTCATCATCTTTCATCCCTTCCATCAACAGGAGAGGAACCACCATGGAGCAGAACTCTCTGACTGTGAGCAAGGTGGAAAAGTCTTGAATAAGCATTTAAACCTTAAGACACACATGAGAACTCAAAATAGAGGGAACAGTTTTGAGTGTAATCAGTATCACAGTGGCCTCCTTCATCTGCAAAAGAAAACCTCTACTAGAGAGAAACTTTCTGAGTTTAATCAGTGTGGTAAAGTCTACAGGCGGACTCCACATGCAGTGTGTGAGAGAACCAGCGTGGCAGATAAGACTTTTGAATGCAGTGACTGTGGGAAAACGTTCATTAGTCGTTCACACTTTCAGGCACATAGGAGAACTCACAATGGAAGAGATTTCAGTGAATGGAAGCAATTTATAAAAACTTCAGTTTTCTCAGCAGGCCAAAAGGAGCATGTGCAGACACGGGCTGCTCACGAACCCCATGAAGGTAAACAGTGTGGGAAGTCTTATGCGGATTCCAAGTGCCTCGATAATCATATCATTCGACTTCATGGTGGAAGAAAACCCTTTGAATGTAGTGAATGTAGGAAAGCCTTCTCTACATCCTCGCGCCTTTGTGTGCATTTGAGAATTCACACTGGAGAGAAACCCTATCGATGTAAAGAATGTGGGAAACACTTCCAGTGGCCCTCACTCCTTCGGAAACATGTTCGTACTCACAGTGGCGAGAAGCCCTATCAGTGTAAGGAGTGTGGGAAAGCCGTCAGTCGTTCTTCGGTTCTTAATGAACATTTGAGAATTCACACTGGAGAGAAGCCCTATCAGTGTAAGGAGTGTGGGAAACACTTCGCTTGGCTGTCAGTCCTTCGGAAACATGTTCAGACTCACAGTGGCGAGAAGCCCTATAAGTGTAAGGAATGTGGGAAAGCCCTCAGTAGTTCCTCAATTCTTAATGAACATTTGAGAATTCACACTGGAGAGAAGCCCTATAAGTGTAAGGAGTGTGGGAAAGCCTTTACCAATTCCTCACGACTTAGTGTACATTTGAGAATTCACACCGGAGAGAAACCCTATCAATGTAAGGAATGTGGGAAAGCTTTTGTTTGGCCCTCAGTCCTTAAAAAACATCTGCGAACTCATAGTGGAGAGAAGCCCTTTGAATGTGGTGAATGTGAGAAAGCCTTCAGTAATCCCTCTTATCTTAAGGAACGTTTGAGACCTCATTCTGGAGAGAAACCCTTTCAATGTGGTGAATGCGGGGAAGCCTTTAGGACTTTCTTGTATTTTAATAGCCATTTGAGAAATCACTCTAGAGAGTAATCCTATGAACTTAAGGACCGTGGGCTTTCACTAGTGCTCTCCTGATTTGACATTTAAGTATTCACACTGGATAGAAACCAGTAAGGAATTAATGGGAATGTGGGAATTAATGTAAGGAATGTAAGGAATATGGGAAAGGCTTCACTTGGTCTTCCAACCTCCATAAACATACACAGATTCAAAGTACAGAGTGACCCTATGACTGTTAGCGGACTGTGGGAAAGCCTTCACTACTTCCCCATTTGAAGCCAATGGAGATAAACCCTATGAATGTAAACACCGAGGAAAAGCCTTCACTGTTGCCTCAACCTGTAAAATTGTGGGGCGCCTGGGTGGCTCAGTGGGTTAAGCCGCTGCCTTCGGCTCGGGTCATGATCTCGGAGTCCTGGGATCGAGCCCCGCATCGGGCTTTCTGCTCGGCAGGGAGCCTGCTTCCTCCTCTCTCTCTGCCTGCCTCTCTGCCTGCTTGTGATCTCTCTATCAAATAAATAAATAAAATCTTTAAAAAAAAAAAAAAAAGCTTCACATCGAAGTCAGGACTTAACACCTTAAAACGCAGAACAGATTGAAGACTTATGTATGTAATAAGAGTGACAAGGTCTGTTATTCCCGTGCATTTCAGAAAACAAAACAACCCACATTCGAGGGAAACTATGAATATGAGGAATGTGGAAAGGTCTACAGGTGTCCCGTTGAATACGTGAAAGAACCCACTAGTGAGATGCCTATGAAGCGAAGCAGTGGGGAAAGCAATCAGTGTCCCACAACCATGTCGGAGGAACACAGTGAAGTTCAATATAAGAGCCGTGTGGGGCCCGTTTATAGGCTGGCTTCGTGGATCTATTTTGAACGTGTGCCACTCTGCCCTGACCATTTGTGGGAATGGTCTGGCTTTCTGCCCTTGATAGCAGTGCTAGTCCAGTCTAGTTTCTGGTACCTGGTTTTCAGCCTGGCCCCACGTGGCACTACCACCGTTAGACTTAGCGCTGTGCAGGCCACCTGGATCCTCTGGTTACACTGACCTTGTCTAATACTGTGAAGATGGCGAGCATGTGAATCAGTTCACTGCTCGTAGTCCGTCTGCAGTGCCTCATGCTGGTGAAGGGGGAGGACATAGGTCTCTAAATTTCCTGAAAATGTTCTCTCTCACACCTGCTCTTTCTGGGTTAGGAAAGACTTAAGAATTAACAGCCCTGATCTCATGCTCTCGAAAGAGAGCAGCACATGTAGTACTAGGTTCGAAAATACCTTTAACCTCGGCCAGAACACGGAGAGGCTGTTAACAGAATGTTCTCTTTGTTCCCAAATCACCACGGCCCGGAAGAACAGTTAGGTCCTTTGTGTTCCGAAACAGCTGCACCTGGCATGTGACGTGCTGATTCGTTTACATCACTTCAAATGCTGTGAGGTGGGAAACCTTGTGAATAGGACAGGTCCTGATACTCTTGTTATACTTGATGTCCCACTGGCAGTTCCTGCAAGTGGCCTTTGGGCAGAGACACAGAATCTATCAGAACCTTGGTTTAATTTTGAGTTAACACATTCATATACTTGTAATACTTGAGCAGCCTTTAGTTATGTCATGGGTGGCCTTGGAGGCTACAGCAGCTTACTGTCACTTCCCTTCTAGCTTAATCAGATCAGTGGAATACACTCCAACCAGTCAGGTTTAGTTACAATTCCCGATCAGACGTGACCTGGATAGGGGCACCTGGGTGGTTCAGTCAGTTAAATGTCCAACTGTTAATTTCAGCTCAGGTCTCAATCTCAGGGTTGTAAATTCAAGCCCTGCATCGGGCTCCAGGCAGGGCATGGAGCCTACTTAAGAAGCGACATGGGTACATTCCTGTATGTTTGTGTTTGTTTGATTGAGATTGGGATATGAAATGAGTCTCCTGAGTATGGGTGTAGTCTTAACTGCATTGTGTGTATTGCAATATATAATACACTGGCCTTAAGTGACGTTATCTCAAAACCCACAAGTCCTAATTCCAACAATCTGATACCCTCATCAGTAACATCTATGTGTTCCAGTAATAATGGTAGCTGACTTCTGTCTCACCAGGATCCTCTTTTCATAATCTCGGATTGTCTCCCCCTTAATGTCTTTTATATGGGGAAACATGAAGCATTTTCCACCCGTGGGTTTCACTACTCTGTGATCTCCTTTTCCTGTGGGAGAAACCTGTGGCAGTCTAGCTCAGTTCTGCTGGAGCCTTTCTAACCGGAGAAGCTTGATTACCTCAGTGACATGCACTACGGTCACACCCATGCTGAACTCCTTCATTGACAGCCTGGGGTCCTGGGTTCTCTGCCTGGGAGAGATGATGGTCCATGATGGGATGCTGGCCTCAGAACCAAGAGGACATTGTGGGCCCCAAATACAAATATTGTGAATTTAAGTTTTCTGGTGATTATTTTCTCATAATGGATATATTTATTTTACTTTATTCCCCAAAGTACCTATGACTTGCTTCTGTTTGTCTTTGTTTCTCAACAACCTCTTCAGTAACTACTTTGTTACTTTTCTTCCCTAATTAGAGCACCAAATTTCTGTGTTGGTCAGATTTCCTATAGCCATTCCTCAGATGTCCAACATTAGATATGAAACACCACATCAGATGTGGCATGGTTTTCTCAAAAATCATCCTCTGAAATGTTGATATTTGCATTCATTTACTTTGGTGTATTTTTCATATTAGTGGACTAAAAAGGGTACTACAGTTGTAATTGAAGCACTTGCCATAATAAAAACTGCTATTTTATGTATATAATTTGATGGAATTCTTGGGAGATACTTTCTCATTTACCCCATTTTTCATAAAAGTTTGTGATTGCAATGGATTCTACCCTGGACACAAAGACATAGTTTTGAACTTCCGGTGTGTAGGAATCTAGATTTGAGTGGTAGTTTGCTTAGGTGTTTTTATGTGGTATATTGCATAGGGTAAATCTGATATATTGCCTCATTCTTTGCCTTCTGTCCTCTTTCTTTCATTCCCTCTTTCCTTTATTATCTTTGTTTAATTGTACCTTTATTTCCCATTATTGCCAACAAGACCCAGGTGGAAACTACTTTATCAGTGCATGACTGGTGGAGGAAAGAACAAAAAAATGAATGTTTCATGGATAGAGTATTTGGGAATATGAAAACATCTGGAAATGGATAGTGGTAATGGTTGCACAAAAACCAATGTACTTGATGCCAGCTGAATAGAAGTGTACACCTAAGTGTTTAAAATGGTTAATTTTGTTACATGTATTTAAACACAATAAAAAAGTGACAGTCAAGTGGAAAGAGATTGTGAGATTTCTTTCTGATAATATCTTTAATTCCATAATGTAATTGATGACTCTTGTTAGTTTTTAGAGAAATATTTTAATATTGGCCCTCAACAGTCTAGACCACAAAGGAATCCAGAAGGACTTCTGTCCCAACTGGCTCCTGGAGGTGGGCCTGCTCACTTTGGTCTTCCTGCTGATCTTGAAGCAGCCCACAACCCGGCTCCAGACACTGAGCCACAATGTAGGAGGAATCCTGCCCACCCAGAAGAAGTCTCACTCTTCAGTGCCCTCTGAGGCAGGCCTGCAGAATTTGAGTCATGGATGTGGACCCTAAGTTAGCCTTGTGACTTGGCTCCAATCCCTTTCAGTTGTGGTTTGAGGCCATTTATGCCTGCCAAGTGATGTGTTATGAGTCCTACCGTCCACATAACCAGAAAATACTACTGCTATCTTTGAATCCTGAATTGATACCTTGTCGTAGTGTCAGGATACTGAGTCCGTATCCTGACAAGGTCCTGGAGTGATGTCTCTTCTGACCAGGGTGAAGACTAAGTCAATTGCTTTGGTAACAGGATTGTGTACCCCAGACTCAATGCAGAGCTGACAGCAGCCAGGTCTGGTCTCAGTCCCACTTGACCATGATTCCAGAAGCAAAACCCATCACCCCAGAGACCTGACATCAGATCGTTTTTGTCCATGAAAACAGGCTATACAGTCTGAAAGAGACATTTGTTTAATTACAGAGACACAAATGACAAGCCCAGTTGCCTGCAGACACGGCCAGCAGACAGACCATTAAGTAGCCTAAGTTGAGCTGACAGATGAAGGGCTTTTCTGTACTGTGACACTAAAGACTGGAAGAGCGATTACTCAAAGGTATAGATATAAAGAGGCAACGATCACAAGAATTAGGCAAACATGATATCATCAATGGAAGTACCTTAAGCTGAGCACCTACTGTGGTAAATGTAACATTCCCAACCTTTTTATATTTACCACGAAATATTAAGACTTACAACACTACTATAATCAAAACAGATAAGAGCATAAGTAAATGCAATACTAGTGCAGGTGTTTATTGTTTAATAAAGTCTGAATTTTGTATCTGTAGGTCAAAAATAATTTATGATTGGTACTGAATCAACTGGCCATCTTTTCTGGGGGAAAGAGGGATTGGATCCACTACTCCACCCCATATGTTAAAATATATCCTATGAGGATTAAAGAGGTCGGTGTTTTTAAATGGATTATATTTAAGAAGTAAACTATAAAATGTGTATATAATTGAGAGTTTGAAGGGACTTTTTAAAGCAAGTTAGGAAATCCAGATACAACTTTTATTTTTTAAAATTTATTTAAGAGAGCCCACACGTGGGCTGGAGGAGCAGAGGGAGAGAGTCCCAAGCAGTCTCTGTGCTGAGTGCAGAGCCCAACTCAGAGCTCAGTCCCACGACCCTGAGATCAGGAACTGAGCTGAGACCAAGAGCTGGATGGCCAACCTAACTGTGCCATCCAGTTACAATTTTTAAAAATGCTTCTTTGCCTACATGAAAATCAAAGGATTTGTGCAGTAAAACATGAAACACTAATGTAGCAAAATAGGTTGTCAATTCAGTAGATGCACACAAAACATTTAATGATGCCCATGAACAAGTCTTGATAAATATGTTTTAAATCAGTGTTTTAGGGGCTCCTGGGTGGCTCAGTCATTTAATTGTCTGCCTTGGGCTCAGGTCATGCATGATCCCAGGGTCCTGGCATCGAGTCCCACATTGGGCTCCCTGCTTAGCAAGGAGTCTTCTCCTTTCTCTCTGCCTGCTGTTCTACCTACTCTTGATCTTTGTCTCTTTGTGTCAAATAAATAAAATCTTAAAAAAATTAAAAAATCAGGGCACCTGGGTGGCTCAGTGGGTTAAAGCCTCTGCCTTCGGCTCAGGTCATGATCTCAGGGTCTTGGGATCAAGCCCCGAGTCAGGCTGTCTGCCCAGTGGGGAGCCTGCTTTTCCTTCTCTCTCTGTCTGCCTCTCTGCCTACTTGTGATCTCTGTCAAATAAATAAGTGGACTCTTTAAAAAAATTTAAAAATCAGTGTTTTAAAAGATCTTTATTAACTGTGCAAAGACCATTTTCCATTCAAAATCACAGCAAACATGATTAATGGAGTAATTTTTTTAATTTTTATGTTTTTTTTTTTAAGATTTTATGTATTTATTTGACAGAGAGAAAGAGATCACAAGTAGGCAGAGAGAGAGGAGGAAGCAGGCTTCCTGCTGAGCAGAGAGTCTGATTTGGGGCTCGATCCCAGGACTCTGAGACCATGACCTGAGCCAAAGACAGAGGCTTAACCCACTGAGCCATGCAGCACCCCATATATTTTTTTTAATTTTTAAAACGATTTTCCAAAATCAGACGAGATTGTGATTGTTCAGGGTGGCATGGCCATAGACTTTAAAACGATTTTATTTATTTGACACAGAGAGATCACAAGTAGGCAGAAAGGCAGGCAGAGAGAGAGGGGGAAGCTGGCTCCCTGTTGAATAGAGAGCCCGATATGGGTCTCAATCCTGGGACCCTGAGATCATGACCTGAGCCGAAGGCACCCAGGTGCCCCTAATGGAGTAATTTTAGAAACATTCCTGAATAAAGCAAGAGTGCCCAGTGTCAGTGTTTTTCCACAAAATGTGAACAAAAATATGAAAGATTTACAAAAAGTCATTACATTGAAAGCAAGGAACCGGGGCGCCTGGGTGGCTCAGTGGGTTAAAGCCTCTGCCTTCCGCTCGGGTCATGATCTAAGGGTCCTGGGATCAAGCCCCGCGTCGGGCTCTCTGCTCAGCAGGGAGCCTGCTTCCCTTCTCCTCTCTCTGTTGCCTCTCTGCCTACTTGTAATCTCTGTCAAATAAATAAAATCTTAAATAAAAAAAAGAAAGCAAGGAACCAGTGATAAGAGTTTACCATTGTGTCCAATATAAAAAGAAATAAGGGGAAATAAAGGCCTACATACGGGGTTGATGGAATAGGGGCAATATAGTAGTTTACAAATTAGGGGGAGATAAATACTGAAAAATACTTATGCTAGACATAAATCCATATTTATTAGTAATGACATATTATGGGCTAATGTCCCAAATGAAAGCAAAGGTTTTTAAAGTATTTCAAATAGATAATATTTGAAAATTTGAAAATATTTGAAAAAGTAAGGAAAAACAAGCTGATGTAACTATAGTACTTCACAAACTTCATGAAGAAGCAGCAGAGTAGGGGCACTATTCCCCTCTTGCTCAGAGAGGAAACCTCCTGTGGAAGAAATTTCATTACTGCATTGCAGATACTCTGGCTGCCATTGTTCTCCCTCTCCCAGAAATCCTTGACTCTGTTAGAATGTCTTTCCCATTTCCAAAAGTCTTGAATGTGTGATTTGATTATTCCTTTCTTCCAAGGTGTTAAGTGAACCTGTCACTATCTCACAGATTTTGGCAGAGGAGCTGAGACTCTGACGTTAGAGACCAAGGCAATAACTGACTCATGGTATAGCCAGTAGCATGAGCATCAGTATGTGTAAATTGGCTCCCATTGTCCCGTCTCACAGGGGTTCCAAGGGCCCCGGGTGCTGGAGAAGAACGCTGAGCTTGCAGAACCCAGTTTATTTGAAGCAGTCAGCCAGCCTGCTCTTTATCTTAATGGGAGAGATGATGTCATCTCTCAAGGTTCCACACTGCAAAGGCACATCTAGCAAATGGGCCAAGGGAAGAGTGATCAGGGATTTGCATTCTTCCCAGGTAAAAAAGTGAATGAGAGCAAGAGAAAAAGGTGCACAGATAATTCCCACTGAAGCTGTAAGACATGTGTGAAGTTTGATTTGGATTATTAGAATGGTTTCATTAAGCCTCAAAAAATGTCATCAAGCAGCTGCAGCCTTGATGGCCACACATGACATAAACCAACCCAACACTGCTCCACATCAGAGCTATATGAATTTGTATCACTGAGGCTATTGTCACAGTTCATGGATTGAATGACAAGCACAGAGCCAGACCCCATCACCATGACCCCTTGGAGCTTGAGCTCCAAAGATGGTAGGGTGGTTTTGCCAGGCTGTGGTGTTGGGTGTAGGGACGGAAGAGCACATTCATTGTCCTCACTCACCCTCTTGCCACACAGCTTGAATAGAAGGCCTTCCCAGTTGGTAGGGGTGTGTTCATAGGGCATGTACTCATGCTGCCTCATGGTATGAGGTATAATCTCACCTCTTCTCCACTCATCCCATGCATCTTCCTGAGATTCCACGAGATAGGATCAGATGAAAGAGGGACACAAGGTCTTCTTCCCAAAATTGACAGACATGTTTTGTATCCCTTACCCTGGCCAGTGTGATTCAGTGTAGATGGACTCCATGAGCAGTTTGAACAGTGATGCCCTGAGGCCCTGTGCTTGAAATGTAAGACCAAGTCAATCCAGTAAGAGTATCCAGATGGGTAGAAGACAGTAAGGACAATAAAGGGTGAATTGAGTAGGCCCACTTTTGGGCGGGCTGCAACATGGAAGGTGTAGCCACTAGACTGGCCTGGCCAGGCCAATCAGGGCAAAGACAAGTCATGCCCCCAGAAAAGGTTGGGACACAATAATAAATGTTTAAAACAGACCTTACAACCACCCACAAGACTAATGCCTGTGAACAGACCTAAGATTCTTGTTTTTAAAAATATTTGAGAGAGCATACAGGAGCAGGGGTGTGAGGGTATGGGGGAGAGAATTCCCAAGCAGACTCCCTGCTGAGTGCAGAGCCCAATGAGGGGCTCAATCCCAAGACTCATGAGATCACGACCTGAGCCAAAACCAAGAGTCAGACACCCAAACAACTGAGCCACCGAGGCGCCCCTCCCACATTCTTTATATCCATAGGGGTTTATACCAGTTTGAATTCAAATGGGATTTTTAAAGAAGATTTTATTTGACAGACAGAGATCACAAGTAGGCAGAGAGGCAGGCAAGCAGGCTCCCTGCTGAGCAGAGGGCCCAGTGCAGGGCTCCATCCCAGGACCCTGACATGACCTGAGCCGAAGGCAGAGGTTTAACCCACTGAGCCACCCAAACGCCCTTCAATTGGGATTATTAAAACATGAATAATTTTGGAAGGGTTTTCTACATTTCTTACATTTGAAGTACTTCTCCAGAGTGCAATGTTTTATGTTTACTAAGAGAAAAATAACTAATGAAGGTTTTCCCACATTCCTTACATTTATAAGGGTTTTCTCCAGTATTAATTCTTAAAGGTTGTGCTACTTTTGAGGCAACAATAAAAGCTCTCCCACTTTCATTAAACAGTCATAGTGTTTCTCTCCAGTGTAAGTATGCATGTGAGTGATAAAATGGAAACTGGCAAATGCTTTCCCACACACAGACTACACTCAGTTTCTCTCCATTGTGAGTTGAGAGGATTAACAAAACGCGAGGAAGCAGTAAAGGCTTTCCTATGTTTGTCACATTTAAAAGGCTTCTCCATAGTGTGAGCTTGTAGTTATGTTCAGTATGTTTTGAGAATGCAGCATAGGTTTTCCCACATTGCTTACACTGGTAGTACTTTATTCCAGTGTGATTAAGACATGAGGAACTCTTTCCACATTCTTACATACAAAGGTACTCTCTTCAGTATCAAATCTTGTAGGTCTCTTAAAATTGGGAGATGTAACAAAGGCTTTCTCACTTCCTTACATTTATAGGGTTTCTCTCCTGTCAATTAACATGCGTATGTAAAGGTTTGCACAACAAGGAATATTTTCACCACATTCCTCACATTCATAAATCCGTTAGCAGCGGAAGTTTCTTCATGCACTCGTGAAGAACGGGTGTCTCACCTTCCTTGCTTTCACATGTTTTTTCTTCTCCATCATGAGTTGTCATTTGTCCTTTGAAGTAAGATTGATCATGGAAGGCCTTCCCACTGTCACTGCATGTGAAGGTTTTCTCTTGGGTGCTGGTTTTCCAGTCCAAAATATTTGGAGTCAGATGGTTTTTTCTGTGTTGTTTAAACCCAGGAAGTCTGGGTCTCCACTACAGGGTTTCTCCTGCAGAGAAAGGAAGCCTTTTCCATATTCCTTACTCTCATAAGTGTTCCCTCCATTCTGAGTTCTCCTGTGTGTCTAAAGGTATGAGCATTCACTCAAGTCTTTCCGACACTGCTCACAATGAGTTCCCATTCAACATGATTTCTTGCCTGTAGGGGAATAGATGAATGATGCTTCAAAGATTTCTGAGTCATTAATTGATCCTACCTGTATCAAAATAGAAATAGCATTGCAGTGCTGATTAGGATTCATACCATTTCCAGTGCATTTATATACCTCCTGCCCTGTTCATTTCTTTCCAGCTGGGATGACAGATTCCTTCTGCCAGCACAATGGGCCATCTTTTAAAATCCTAGAGGGATTCCTTTTGTTTGATGGAATTTCAATTTTTTTTTTTTAATGATTTCGATTGTGTGAGAGAGCAAGCACGCACTAGTAGGGAAACAGCAGGGAGGAGAAGCAGGCTCCCCGCTGAGCAAGGAGGCCAATGTGGGACTCGAGATCATGACCTGAGTAGAAGGCTGATGTTTAATCAACTGAGCCACCTAGGCATCCCTGTTTCAGGGAATTGTTTTAAAAACTCAACATCCATTTATGTGTTTGGGAATGAATACTTGTTGGAATTGTGAAGTGACAAGTTTCGAGGTAGATCTAGTATATCCCCAAATTCATCACACTGAGAATATCTCACAAGAAAAATTGTTTTGTCTTTGGAAAATGTCCCTTATCTCAAATATCACTTGTGCTAATATTCTAGCTAAGAAAAAGCTCAATCTTTTCCAACTATGGGAAATAAAAAAATACCACTTTATAAACTTAAGTGATTTCAGTGTTTCTATCCCATTGGATGTTTTTTTCCCAAAATATTCTGCCAAATTACTGAGTATTTGGTTTTACGCTGCACTTTGTTTGAAAGTAAGAGAATAACAAATGTAAGAAATTATAGAAATACATGTAGGTTAAAGGACTTAAAAATAGTGAGGTTCATTTGAATTTGTTACAAAATTAAACATGCCAAAACCCAGTACAATAGATTTGAAGAGTTTGGCTATGTCAACAATTTATTTTTTTTAAAGATTTTTATTTATTTACTTATTTAACAGAGAATGAGAGAGAGAGAGAGAGAGACTGACTGAGAGGTCACAAGTAGGCAGAGAGGCAGGCAGAGAGATGGGGGAAGCAGGCTCCCTGCTGGGCAGAGAGGCTGATCCCAGGAACCTGAGATCATGACCTGGGCCGAAGGCAGAGGCTTTAACCCGATGAGCCACCCAGGTGCCCCAACAATTTAGTTATGATGTTAAGAAGTTGGTGAAAAAAACGACTCTGAAATTAAACAACATGATTCTCTTCAAGGGCAGAATCACTCATGATGCCCTTCTCTGACTACAGCTGAGTGAGAACCACTGTGGCACTGTATGGCAACAGTGTCTGTTCGTGTGGATTAACTTGAATGCAGAGAGATATTCGGGAATTTCAAGCTAGAATGGAATGAATTCCAGTCAGGTAAATGTGGCAATTACAGTCATCTCTGGTATTGTCTTCTTTCTTTTCTCCTAGGTTTTCCTTCTAAGGACATGTTGTTCTTTCTTGAAACAAGGATAGAGACAGAAAAGATGAAGACTGAATGTTTAACAGGTTCTTCTCAGGTAAGAAAAAAGCTGATCCTTCAATAAAAATGACATGCTACATCTACCAGATACATATATTTCCTTATAGGTAGACCTGTTTCCACAGCTTCCTAAAGGAACAGTCACTCTGAGCCCTGTTGAATTTTCTTACAAAGTACAGCCTATCAGAATGAGAGAATACCAAATAATCTCAGTATCTGCATTTCATAATGGCGACTACATGTTATTTTGGCAGGTGCTTATATGATGAGGCTCAAAATGTGCATTCCTTGGTTTATAAATTCATCAGTGCTTACAGGTATCTCTTTTCTCAGGAGTTTGCTGCAAGAAGAAAACCGGACAAGAGCTTTTATTTTTTATTTATTTATTTTAAAAGATTTTATTTATTTACTTGAGAGAGAATGAGAGAGAGAGAGAGAGAGAGCATGGGAGGGGAGAGATTCAGAGGGAGAAGCAGACTTCCCACTGAGCAGGCAGCGCGATATGGGACTCAATCCCAGGACTCCAGGATCATGACCTAAGCCGAGAGATATGACTGTGGCACACATTCATTCTGAAACATTCCTCTCTTGTGTGGTACCCCAGCATGTACTCCCAGCCTCTAAGGCTATATAATAACACATCTTAAGGGTCATAGGGTTGTGGAGATCTTTCTGTCTTGTGGCTACCTAAGCCATACTTCTGTCTGTGAGTCTCCTTAATAAACCATCTCTCATCGGGGCGCCTGGGTGGCTCAGTGGGTTAAAGCCTCTGCCTTCGGCTCAGGTCATGATCTCAGGGTCCTGGGATCGAGTCCCGCATCGGGCTCTCTGCTCAGCGGGGAGCCTGCTTCCTCCTCTCTCTGCCTACTTGTGATCTCTCTCTCTCTGTCAAATAAATAAATAAAATCTTAAAAAAAAAAAAAACACCATCTCTCATCAAACTACACTTGTTTGCCTTCTTTGGTCTTGTATCTCCTTTGACTTTGGAGTTTGTTTTGCATATACCTTTCAGAAAACAGTGCTAAACACTCTTCTCTCTGTTGATAACTCACTCATGGTTGATATACTTCATTCCTGGCTTCAGTGAAGCCTCTAACACATAAACTTAATACAAGTCTAAAAGCTCTTGTCCAGGGACGCCTGGGTGGCTCAGGTTCCGACCTCAGGATTCTGTATTGTGCAGGTAGAACCTAAAGCAGAGTCTCAGAAAAAGGGCATCAACAAGGACTTATTATGGGACATATTCTAGGCCATCATCCTGCAAAGCTGAGGGTGAAATCTGCTGGAATGCTGCACTACATGAACCAAGATTATTTCAGAGAAGATCAAGAATGACAAGTGGACAGGGCCTTCTCCATCTCTCTGGAGATCAGGTTATTTGAAGTTGGGTTCATATTAATTAATCAATCAATCAAAAATATTGATTAGTAATAATTCAACAGGATCAATTACTTTTTCTGTATAGATGACATGCATGAAAGCTACTGTAACAGGACGGTATACAAGAGGTTATTAATATCAACTGCCAATAACTGAGGACTGTTACATATCAGATGTCTCACTAGAGTTTTGAGCTCACACATATGTGGAAAAGTTTGTATATCTGAATCTGCTTCTTTTAATGATTTTATATTTAAGTCATCTCTACACCCAACATGGGGCTCAAACTCACAACCCTGAGATCAAGAATTGCATGCTCTACCCACTGAGCCAGCCAAGCACCCTTCCCCACCTTTTCTTAAAAATGATTTTAAGTATGAATCTATTCATTCAACTGTAACGATCTAAACACAAATCAAACATATCTGTTAAAATTTAGTGTCCAATGAATTTTTAACTTTGAATGAAGAAAATAATGCAAAGTATCTAAAATTTTTGGTACTGATTGCATACTGCAGTAACTACTTTATATAATAAAGAAGTAAAATATTCTTCAAAATAATATTAACTTTTTCATTTTTGTTCATTGTAGATACTGAAAATAATTATGTACATGGTCTACACATACTTTTACTGGATAGCACTGGTCAAGGCTGTTGCTGAGTATATAAAGGAAAAAAAAATTTGTTTCTGTCAATACCACTGAGCTTGCCTCCTTGGATGGGAAGCTTGAGGCTTGTTCATTTGAATTCTTATTGAGGGTTTATTCCTTTCTTCTGTTCAGTAAATAGTAAGTTATGTCTGTGGCAGATACTCATGAGAACAGTTACATATACAGAAAATGTCCCAGACATAAAAGATCTAACATTCCTATTGTAGAAGATAGACAATAAAGTAATAATTGACCTATCAATTCATAAGTGACATGGGAAAATAAACAGGTGGGGGGGAAAAAAGGGTGTCCTATATACCCACCCCACATAAATTCTGTTGGTTTCTGGGCAAGACAACGGAAAAAAAGAGAATCATTAGCTCTTCCATATTTAACCTAAAAAGATTAGAAAAGGAATGCCAAAGTTTTTACAAAATAACTCAGAATATGTTAAAGTGCTGAAACTCCCACAGGTGTTGGTTGGAACCTCCAAACAAGATGTGTGCTTCCCCTTGCCTTGACAGAGGGGCAAGTCCATGCCACACTTTGCTCAACATGTGTGCATTCTGTGTGTCTTTTCAGACAACCGCCATTTCATATTTTGTATTTGTTCCGCTTTCTATTTAATTTGCCTTTATGTTTCTTCATTTTGCCAGACTTCCTTTATGTTTGTTTTTTAACTGTCTGTATTTTATGTCTAACTTTCTAAAAAAAGATTATTTCTTTGAGAGAGAGATCACAAGTAGGCAGAGAGGCTTCCCCCTCTCTCTCTGCCTGCCTGCCTCTCTGCCTACTAGTGATCTGTCAAATAAATACATCTTTAAAAAAAAGTATATTAACTTCCTACGTGAACGTTATGTGTCAGAAGCAAAGAACGCGCAAAAATAAAGTCAAACCATCAAATAAAACATTCCTTTGCATCCAAGAGGAAAACAGGCCCGTGGGAATCAGCTCCCCGCACAGTGCTCACCCGAGTGCGCCGGAACCGCGAGGTCCGTGAGGACGTGAGCACACGGCCAGAATCTACCAACTCGGCGGATGAAGCTCTTTTCCCCCTGCAGAAAAGTAACAAAAGTTGCTTCGCAGGCTCCTGAAGAGGGAAGCAGTGTATGAACCGACCCCCCAGAAGCGCCCTTATATTTCCTGAAAAGCTACTCCCGAGGACACCCCAGCGGAAGGCAGCGGTGCGCGCCAGGTCTCTTTTTTTCTTTTTTAAAGTTTGTTTGAGTCATCCCTACACCCAAGGTAAGGCTTGAACTCACCACCCCAAGATCGAGTGGCTCGCTCCACTCACTGAGCCCGCCAGGCTCTCCACAGGCCAGGTCTCTTTAAGCAGGAACCTGGGAGGCGCGAGACACTTGTCCTTTAACTGCCACCTTCCAGCCCCTTCCCTCTCCCTCGGGTTAGCCTCCAGACGCTGGCAGGCGCGCACTCACAGCCAAAGCGAAACCAGACCAGCGGCGGAAAAGACCCCGGCGCCTGCGTGATCTCATTTCCGCTTCCCGCCTGAGGCCGGAAGGGGCGGGACCCCGCGGGCGGCCGTCGGCCTCGTCGGACCGCCTCAGGCGGGAGAGCGCTGGTTTCCTCCCGTCTGGGTGTGGGTGGGCAGGGCTGGGCGAGGCCCCGGGGCGGGGACAGAATGGGATCCCGAGACTAGGCGGAAGTTAGGACCAGCGCCGTGGGCGGGGCTTACTCTTGAGGGCGTGGCTGCAGGTCCGAATAGACCCAGTGCCTGTCGGCACTGCTGAATATTCAAGCGGGAAGGGCGAGCGCGCGGGGGCGCCGACGCCACGACAAGCACAGGAGGACTGCCTGCCCCTCCCCTTGTTCCTGGACCCCTTACAAGGATTCTCCCCTATCTAACGTTCTTGCCAATCCTTAAAGTGGTCTAGCTCCTCCAGTCAGTCCCTTCTTTAGGTCTTTGAGCACCATGCTAAACTCCAGTAAGCGATTCCTTTAGATTTTCAATGTAATGACATTTTCTGCAAATCTGTTACCCCCCCATAATAATTCTTTTTATGTATTTAGTTTTTAAATACAAATGATACCGGACTTTCTTCACTTCTCAGGAATATATCTGAAGTTTCTCCAGTAATCACGTTCTCTGTGGTTGCTGTGGTTTTCAGTGGATGACCTTTACGGAGTTAGTAAAGATGTTTAAACCCTGATTTTAATGACATTTTATTGAGTTGTTCATGTGCATTATCGAATGTGTCTTATACATCTATAACTATTTTGCTAGGTTGTTTCATGTGTTGCTGTATGGAATACTAAATGTATGTAGCCAAATAACCTATTTTTTTTTAAAATATTTTAAGATTTGAGAGAGAGAGAGAGAGAGAGAGAGAGACAATGAGCAGGGAGAAGCAGACTCCGCAATGAGCAGGGAGCCTGACATGGGGTTCAATCCCAGGACCCTGAGACCACGACTGCAGCTGAAGGCAGCTGTCTAACCGACTGAGCCTCCCAGAGGCCCCAAAATAATTTGTTTCTTGCCTTTAAATGTCCAAACTGTATACTGAATTTATTTCTCACATTTATTAAAGACATTTTTTAAAGATTTATTTATTTGAGTGAGCGAGAGAGGGAGAGAAGGAACAGGGAGAAGGGTGAGGGAGAAGCAGGTTCTCAGCTGAGCAGGGAGCCCCTACTGGGCTCAATCCCAGGACACTGGTATCGGCGGAGCTGAAGGCAGCCACTTAACCGAATGAGCCTCCGAGGCGCCCCTATTAAAGACATTTGAATTTTTAATCCTCGTGGAGTTGATTTTGCCATGTGGTGTGGGGTAGTGGATCTGGTTATTTTATTTCCTACAGAAAACATGGCCAGTTGTGGTACCACTTACCAGTAAACTTTTCTTAACCTAGTCATGTGAAATTCCATCTCAATTAAATAAATTACTATATGTGCTGGTATAAGTTTCTAGACTCTTCTGTGCCAGTAATAGTAATACCCATATACCTTTTTTTATTACAATAGCTTAATATTTAGTTCTAATATTTAGTGGTAAAAATATAAGGGCTGCTAATATATGTTGCACCTTACTGCTCTAAGTGCTTCAGAGATAAGACCTTTTTTTTATGCTTCTAATGATACAGCTATGCCATGATTTTTTCTTGTTTTTTTTTTTTTTGAATAGCTTTATTGACCTATAATTCACATAACCTACAATTTGTGCATTTGAAACTTAAACATTCAATGTTTTTTTTTTAATTAAATTCCAGAGTTGTGCAACTAGCACAATTTTAGAACTTTTTTGTCACTCCAAAAGAATGATTCCTTTGGCTATCATCCCATTTTCTTCCTTAGTGTGTAGGTAACCATGAATGTATTTTCTCACTCTAAAGATTTGCCTTTGGACATTTCATGTAAATGAAATCATAAAATCCTTTGCTGATAGCTTCTTTTCACTTAGCATGTTTTCAAGGTTCGTATGTGTTGTAGTATGCATCATTTTTAATTGCTGAATGATATTCCTTTGTATGGATATACTACATGTTATTAATATATTTATCAATTGATGCACATTTAGGTTGTTTACATTTTGTGGGTATTATGAGCACTGCTGCTCTGAACATTCACGTATTTTTGTGTGTCTGCAGACATATTTTAATTTATCCTGGGTATTGTATTAGAATTCCCCAGAGAAATAGAACATATAGCCCTGAAATTTATGGTGAGCTCAGAAGGATCTATTATATATACACACATACAATGGACACAACATACATTATACGTACTTATACACACACAACATGACTTTTATATAAGGAACTACTTATATAGCTATGAAGGCTGAGAAATCTCTCAATCTACCATCCCCAGTCGAGAGAGCTATGAAAGTAGGTGGTACCTTTCAAACACTTGAGAGCCAGACTGCCCACAATGGAGATTTCAGTCCCTGTCTCAAAGCCCAAGAAGAGGAACACCAAGAGCAGGAGAAGATCACTATCCCAGTTCAACAATCAGACAGAAAAAGAGAATACAGTCGTCCTCTGCTTTTTCATCCATTCAGGCCCTAAATCGCATTGGATGATATCCATCCATGTTGGGGAGGGTGATATGCTATGCTTAGTCTATTGATTTAAATGCAAAACTCCTGAAACATGCCAACAGGCACTACCAAAAATGACATTAATGAGATATCTAGGTATTTCATGACACAGTCTAGCTGACACATGAAATTAATTAATAGGTATCTACCTAGGACTGGAATTGCTGGGTCAAATAGTAACTATATATTTGACATTTTGAAGTACTATCAGACTGTTTTCCAAAGTGGCTGCACCATTTTATATTTTACCCATCAGTATATGAGCTATTTCCCAATGTCATTTGTTAATTTTTTTTTATTAGCTATCCTAAATGGTAAGAAGTGATATCTCCTTGTGATTTGGGTCATTTTTCTATCAGTGATGTTGATGACTAGTGGTAACTTTTCATGTATTTGCTGCTATTTGTTATGTCCTTGGAGAAATGTCTCTTCAAATCTCTTGTCTATTTTAAAATTGAATTATTTGTCTTTTCATTGTTTATTTATGAGTTATTTATATATTCTATTTATATATTTACATATATATATACAGAATATTTATATATTCTGTATAGAAGTTGCTTTTTGCATATATGAATTGCAAATATTTTCTACCACTCCATGGATTGTCTTTCTTTCACTTTCTTGATGTGTTCTTTGGAGTACAAAAGTATTTAAATGTTGATGATGGACCTCTGAAGTACAAAAGACCTTAATTTTGATAAACTACAATTTATCTATTTTTTTTCTTTGATTGCAAGTGTTTTTGGTATCACATCTAAGAAACCATTGCCAAATTCAATATCAAGAAGCTTTCCTCCTATGCTTTCTTCTGGAAATTTTACAGTTTTGTCTTTGGTTGATCTTTGGTCCATTTGTTTTTTTTTTTATAAAGTAAGAGATGGAAAGCAGTAACATTCCAGTGCTATGGCTGGCAGCACCATTTGCATAGTCCAGGAACTCTCGACTGCTCTTTACTTGGTTAATACCAAAATATAAGATATAGTTATGTATCCTAAATTTTTGAGATAGGCAAAATTGAATTATTAAGTGGAGAAGCAGTAGAGATAAGTACCTCTTTGTTATGCTTATATAATGTTTTATTTTTTTAAAGATTTTATTTATTTGAGAGAGAGATCATGATGGGGAGAAGGTCAGGAAGAAGCAGACTCCCCACCGAGCTGGGAGCCCGATGCGGGACTCAATCCCAGTACCCCAGGATCATGACCCGAGCTGAAGTCACTCACTTAGCCAACTGAGCCACCCATCCACCCAGAATAATAAGTTTTAAACTCTGAAAGCCAGTTTTAATACCTATTGAGCCATATTAATTTTTTTTAACCAAGTATCCACAGAATCATTTTATCAAGGAATAAAGCCAAAGACCTTAATTTAAATTTATTTTTCATCGTTGTCAGGGCATTGATGATTAAGATGGGATAATTTAGGGTAATAGTTACAATACTTATGGGAAATTTAGACATTACTACAATTACAGTGGGGTACACCTATTTTCCTCTATTTTAATTATTTTTTTGATTATAGGAGAAATGTTTAAATTTAGTGGGGTCCCCAAGTATAGCTATAATTTGAGCCCTAGTATTGATAACAATTTATGAAGCCCTGCCAATTAGTGTATTTTAGCAATGTTATATTTAATTCAGAACTTAAATTGTGGAGGTGCAAAAGCCTTGGTGACCCTTTTATCTTTTTAATATGTAAATTCTTTAATATATAAATTTTGTTTATTTGTTGTATATATAATTATATATAAAACTTATGTAAGTTTTTAACATATAAACTTTAATATATAACTAAGTTTTCAATTGATTCAAATTATGGATCTTTGTTTTAGTTTAGTTGTGTGTAGTGTATATTTATAATTTACATATATACATATCTATATTAAATGTTGGAAATGTACATAATTTACTTTACCTTTTGTTTTCTCCCCTGTATCTATGGGTTTATTTTTCATTATCATTTTTAAATGAGTAAGCAATTGAAGACTAACATTATGTTTCTAGACCTGACAGTTGCTTTGTACAGAAGATTTAAAGTTCCTGTTCTTTGGGAAGGGAGGGATTACTTGTAGTCACATAAAGCCCCTGCCGCTATACCTTTTCTCTTGGTCTCTCACCTTTCCCTGTTTTTTTTTTCTTTATGTATTTACCCATAAGCTCCTGATGGTCCTGAGTGGAACTTTGCTATGCGCAGTGACCTCCCTTTCTAGACTGTGCCTTTCAACCTCAGAGGGACTGGAGTCTCTCTCCAAGAGAGCAATAGGGGGGAATCCCAATTTTATAACATTTGGTTTTCAAGAAGATGCTCTTACATGTTGATAGGCAGTGGCACTCGAGAGCCCACGTACATTGACCAGGAGATTTACAAATGGGTTTGAGTTGAGAAACCTCCCGAGGTTTTTTAAGGGGAGCAGGGAAAAAATGTTCTTCCCCTTTTCCCTTTTTCATGAAACATGGATCTCATCTCCCACCAGGTAGGCAGGGGAACAAATCACGACAGAAGCAAAGCGAGGAATAACAGGGACATATGTGACAGCTGATACTGTCTTTGGCAGGGAAGGCTGCTGAGGACCTCCTGATCTCTTTGGCCCCCATAGGAGATGTAGTGGCTGAGGAGATCCCCCTTGGTGTTGCAGGGACCACGACTCCACAGTGCTGAGGAGATGTAAGTCGCTTCTGGTTGTCCTCACATACTGGTAAGGAGAAAATGTTATCAGCTAAGTCAATTGTCTGCATTTATACCAAATGAATTAAAACATTATTAGGGGAGAAAAGTGGGGAGTATATAAGAATGAAAGGACAAGGGTGCCTGGGTGGCTCAGTTGGTTAAGTGTCTGCCTTCGGCTTAGGTCATGATCCCAGGGTCCTGGGATTGAGCCCCATATCAGGTTCCCTGCTCAGTGGAGAGTCTGCTTCTCCCTCTCCCCATTGTTCATGCTTTCTCTCTCTCTAATAAATAAAACTTTAAAAAAAAGAATGAAAGGACAATTTATCAGAAATATAAAATGAGGGGCACCTGGGTGGCTCCGTCTGTTAAGCATCTGCCTTTGACTCAGGTCATGATTCCAGGATTGAGCCCCACATTGGGCTCCCAGCTCAGGAGAGACCCTGCATCTCCCCCTGCCCCTCACCCTCCTGTGCATGCTTTCTAATAAATAAATAACAATAAAATCTTAAAAAAAGAAATATAAAATGACCACATTTGTATGCATCTACCTATAGTGCCTCAAAGTAAGACAGAATTAAAAAAAAAAAACAATCTGACTACCCCCAGTAATAGTGACACATTTAACATATGTCTCTCAATAAAGGACAAATGAGGAGAGGTTTGTAATAATAAAAATTTTAAAAACAAAAGATTCATATATCAGACACACTGATTATACTGAATAATTACAGAATAGGCATTGTTTCCAACCATATTTAAAAGATTCATAAAACTTGACCACATAGGAGATATTCTCGGTTAACTGAAATCCCCTGAAACAGAAGCTCCCTCCAGAGTGGTTTACATCAGTTAGGAGTTTATTTTTCTTGTGTTAGATGAAGCCCAGAAATAAGCAACCCGAGGTTGGTACAGCCAAATGATACTGTATATCCCTGTAGTATAATCAGTAGCCTCTGACTATCATCCTCTTGGTCTATTTTCTAGGAAAGAAAAAGAAATGAGACACAGGGCAAATGTTGAAGAGAAGATGCCAAGTGAGATACTCCCATTGCTACAGCTTCTTTAGAACCCATGAGTAGTGACCACTGCCTATTTCTCACTGACCAGAACCAAGAGCTTATGGAGGCTCAAAGCAGCAAAGTAAGTTGAGAGAGTTCCTTAAAAAATTGTTCACACTGACAACTTGAATACAACTATAGTTTTGTTACTTTAGGAAAGGGAAGGAGGAATGGATCTGGGGCTACTCATTGTATCCGACACACTGGGCCACACAGCAAGTCTCCAATAATTTTGTTTGAAATAATGTCATACAGAATCTAATCATAAAGACCACGCATCTGTGTATAATCCAATTAAATTAGAAATCTACAGAAAAATAACTAAAATATGCAGAGTCTGCACATTAAAAATCCATTTCTAAGTAACCTACAGGTCCAAGACATCTTGATGAGGATTGCACCACATTTAGTACTAAATTATGGTGAAAACATTATTTATCAAAATTTTGTGGTGCAGACTAAGGAGCATTTAGAGTGCCATATAACCTTTAATACTCATCAGTTCACAAGCTGTCACACTTTCAAGATGAGACACTCCCTGATAAAGACAATCACAGAACGATAACATTCGTAAGATTGTTCCCAGTATAGCGTAAGTCAAGAATTGTGCCTGGGCTTTCTACATTGGTCACAGCAGGGCTGCTCTCTGGTGTGAGTTCTAACCTGAGGAGTGAGGGGTAAAGGCCCAACAAAGGCTTTCCTGTAGTCATTTCACTCATACTTTCTGCCCAGTATGTATTCGCTTGTGCATTATAAGGTTAGTGCTGGTGCTGAATGCCTTTCCACAGTGAATGCACTGATAGGGTTTCTCTCCTGTGTGAGTTCTCACGTGTACCCTTAGGCACGAGGAATTCCTAAAGGCCTTCCCACATTCTTTACACTCATAGGTTTTCTCTCCAGTATGAGTTCTCTTGTGCACGATGAGGTAAGAGCCTGTGCTGAAGGATTTTCCACACTGACTACACTCGTAAGGTTTCTCTCCAGTGTGAGACCGTGTGTGTTTCTTAAGGGATGACTGATCAATGAAGGCTTTCCCACAGTCACTGCATTCGTAGGGCTTCTCTCCAGTGTGGGTTCTCATATGCTTCTGAAGGGATGAAGGGACGGTGAAAGCCTTGCCACATTCCTTGCAGTCATAGGGCTTCTCTCCAGTGTGAGTCCTTTTGTGCACGTTAAGATGAGAGCTCTGGCTGAAGGATTTTCCGCAGTGACTACACTCATACGGTTTCTCTCCCGTGTGCGATCTCACGTGCTTTCTAAGGGAAGACTGAAAAATGAAGGCTTTCCCACAGTCACCGCACTCATAAGGCTTCTCTCTGGCATGAGGTCTCACACCTTTCTGAAGGCACGAGGAACTGGTGAGCGCTTTTCCGTGCTCCTTACGTTCTGAGCTTTCCCCCACGGTACACGTTGTTTTGTGGACCCCAAGGGAGGCCCTTTCTCCATGATCGTGGCATTCACAGAATTCCTCTCCAGCAGGTATTTGCCCATGTACTGAAAACGAAGGGTGTAAGCTGAAGCACCTAAGACACGGATTACACGGATGAGGCTTCTCTCCTGTGAGAGTCTTTGAGCATTTCCTAAGGGATGCCCCTTGATGGAAAGCTTTGCCACACGTATTAAACTCACAAGTTTTCTCTCCACCGTGAGTACTCACACGACTGCTAAGAGTTGAGGGGTGGCCAAGGTCTTTCCCATATTCTTTACAATTGAAGCATGTCGCTCCCTCACAGTATCTCGTACATATAAAGTGATAGTTCCTTCTGAAGAATTTTCCACAATGATCAAATGCCAAGGGTTTCTTGCCAGGTTGAGTTGGTGCCTGCAGAACAAGCAAGTGGTAACTAAAGACTTTCTCACTTTCTTTACACTCGTGGGAATCCTCTTCTGTGTGGATTCTGCCATACATAGGAGGTACATGATTATGACTGACATTTTTACTATTTTCAGTGCATGTATGTGATTTTTTTTTTTTTTTTGCCCTATTAGTTCCTTCAAGTTGAATTAACTGAATGCTGTAACCCAGGACTCCATCATTCCTAACAAGGGGCATCCTATATACAGAATTTTGCCAATAATGAGTGAAGAATGAATTAACCATGTATTAAATATTAACAATGGAATCATATTTAAATAAATGTTTACTTTTTGGTATTCTCTGTGGGGCAGCAAATATTGAGCTTGGTTTAGAGATTTCTCTAATTTTATGAGATTCAGGAAGACGTTTCTGAGACAGCTTTGTGGTGAGTGAATGCTACCTGCCTCACTGTCTCGCCTCATTTGGAAGCTGGTGCTTTAACTCAATAGCATCAAAGACTTCTCCTACTTTAAAAGAAATTAGAAATCATTCCTGGTGAATCTTACCGTTTTTATGCCATCGCAAGTTTTTTCCCCAGGAGCATTCTTCAGAGGAGTCCCATCTTTTGGTTTCAGTTGAATATCCCAATCTGAAATTGAAAATTTTTGAAACTATTGGGATAAAAAGTAGGGATAACAGAAAAAAGGAGGTGGGCACCCTATGAATTGTTTTCAGGAACACTAAATATGGAAAGGAAATGTGAAAGAGAAGATATAACCTGTGACCGGAGGACCTGTTCTAGGAACTTGACTCTGGGAGAAGATGCTAATGATAGGAACAAGCAATGGAAATGGGAAGTATTTCATTTAGAAAGGATTCTGGAGGTTTGAAATAATAGGAGAGTGTGTTATCTGGAAAGCAAAGTAGGGAAAATGGAAGAAAAAGTATTCAAGGAAATGTCAAATTTAAAGAGGAATTAAAACAGCTTTTTCCTCTGAGACCACATGAAAACGTGAATGAATGGCAAGATGGTGAAAGATGGAAAGCTCGCATAATGGCCTCCTTCTTCCACAAACTGACATTCCCAAATGGACCATCCCCCACCAAGTCTCCTCCACATAATGACTCCTTTCTGCTTGGGGCTCACCTGTACAGGCACCTTGGAGAATTGCCCCCTCCTCTGTCCCCAGCACTTCCTGCTCCACCTCCGTGATCAGACTGGGTTTGCAGAGAGGGTATCCTGCTCATGGAGAAAGACACATGAGGTGGGGAACTGTGAAGGACACAAGAAATCTGTCCCCAAAACTGATTCCAATACTTTGATATTAAGAGATTCTGAAGATAGACAAGTACAACTTCAGGAGTGACCAAAGAATCAGATCTGAGCTCTTTTGCAAGGTCCCCAAAACAGACACCTACGTATGCCCTATCCACAGGGAACTAACCCTCGAAATCCAAGCCCAAGAGCAGAAACATACTGCAAATCACCTAAATGTTACAATAATAATGAAAATGAAATCCGTATGTTTTTATGGAAAGCCATGAGACTGCCCCACAAGGGCAGAAGCTATTCTTTTTGTGTTTACCATGTATTGTCATTCTTTTCACATATCCTGGAACATGGTATATGAAGAAGGACCATCTGCTGCATGAAGAAATGAGAGAATGAAGGAATGAGGCCAATCTTACCCACGGAGGCCAGGTTCCTGTAGGTCTCCAGCATCACGTCTCTGTACAGGGTTTTCTGAGCAGGGTCCAACAGCGCCCACTCCTCCTGGGAGAAGTCCACTGCCACCTCCTCAAAGGTCACTGAATCCTGAAACATCACATGCACTGTGGCTCAGGCAAGGCCCGTCTCTAACAACGTAGCGAAAGAATGGTGGAGAGGCTGTCAGCACTGGGGAAAGAGACTAGCACACAGCAGGCTTGCGGGTGCTTCAGAGGCCTCCCATTATCTCATTAACTGAGACCCGAGGCGCAGTTCTTGGAACTTTTCTCTTTCGCTCTCCCTGCCTGGATCCTCTCATCCAGACTCATGCTTTAAGCACCCTGTCTAATATATAGTTGACCTGCTCTTCCCACCACTAGGTTGCGAGGACTCTTCCAGTCTTAGCCAAGATTGAGTACAGATTGTATGGCAGGATGAGAAAAATACTTGGAAAATGAATGATTTTCCTAGTGAAAAATCTCTCTTGTCCTGCATAGCACGCAGCAGAATGTGGAACTAATACCCAACTTGGAGGAAGATCTTGGAAAAAAAAGAAATTAACAAATGATGTAGCAATAGAAGTCTTTCCTACTGCATTCTTTATCTCATTCTAAGAGGCCCAGAGAAGTGGGGAAGACTGAGGCCAGCTCAGTTGAAATTGAAGGTCAGGGGCAAGAGATGTGTCCTTTGGGAACAGCAATGTTTTTTGGAAAGAGAATAATTTCCTGTATACCTGTGACCAGGTTGTCAGAAATCCTGCAGCCATTCTTCCTCTTGTGTGTCTCCCTCCTTACCAGACAGGATTCTAAGCAAGCAGACCTAGAGAAGAAAGAAGCCACCAGAGTCTGGGTTGGACAGATATTCAACACTTACACCCTAGAAGCTTCCACATACTAGCTTCAGAGGGAACACAGACACATACACACACACATACACAAACCCACAGTACACTTCCCTGTTAGGATTTTACCTTCCTATCCTAGAACAAGTAGGAATCAGGAATACAGTATTTATTTTTAGCTTTTACACTTTTTTTTCTAGACTGAACTACTAAAAATGTCTAGAGTCAATAGGCACTGTGAGAAGCAATGAGCCTTCCTAAAACTACCATGCCTCTAAATGTCATTTGCCCAGGAAAAAAACAAGGGGGCTCATTTGAGAAACAGCCGAGTCCAGTGTAGAACATGAAATGTTCAAGGTGAGTCTGAAACATCATATAGCAGAAAGCAAGAAACCCAACAAAGGTTAACAGGTTTGTATCAAAAAGACAAAGGAGGAAATTTTAAAAAATAGCTCTCCTTGGCTTAAGATGGAACAGTTTACAAAATAATGACTGCAATGTGTTGAAATCATCAAATCTAAAACAAAACAATGAGTTCATAATGATATTAAAAAAAAAGAACCCTAATGGTCAGTATTGGAGGAGGCCAGGCTATCAACTCATAATTCTGAAAATTCTGAAAGAATCAAGCATATATCCCTCTCTCTTTTGTGAACAATATTTTTATGATTTCCAAACTGCTGTGATGAGGCGAAGTTCTTTACAGAAGAATCGTATAAGCTTTATAAGAAGCTTCATTTATCATAAAGAAAACGCTAGAGTCAGAAAGTCACCATTTCTAAAGCATTAGTACATTGATGGATCATGGCAATGACAACCAACCGCTACTAAGTTATCAGGTGAAAAGTAAATGGGGATGTTTATTTCTGACTTTTAATTTTGAAAAGACTTTCAAACTGAAAGAAAATAATGGTGTGAACATGAACTTCCACAGACTCTTCACCATTAAAGTTTGCTTTCTCTCTCTACCCCGTGTTCCCTCTCTGTTTCAGCAAGAATGTTAAGAGTCTATTCGAGGGGAAACAAGAGATGTCATGACCCTTTCCTCCTCTATACTTCAGAGTGACGCCTGAACTTGGATATTCTCCAATGTAACCACAACGAGCAAAATCAGGACTACTTAACATGGATTTAACACTCCATATGCAGCATTTCACTAACTGGCCCAATAATGTCCTTTATAGCAATCACTTTGTAAATTTCCCATACAGGACCATGCCCTCAAACCATGGTTCTTTTTTTTTTTTTAAGATTTTATTTATTTATTTGACAGAGATCACAAGTAGGCAGAGAGACAGAGAGAGAGGGGGAAGCAGGCTCCCCGCTGAGCAGGGAGCCTGATGTGGGGCTCGATCCCAGGACCATGGGATCATGACCTGAGCCGAAGGCAGAGGCTTTAACCCGCTGAGCCACCCAGGCGCCCCCAAACCATGGTTCTTTACTCTTCTTTGATCTGGACCTATTCCTTGGCCTTTCATCTTTCAAGGTATGAAGAGTCCAGGTCCGATGTTTGACAGACTCCACTTCAATTCTGGCTTGTCTGATGGTTTTCTCATGATTAGACTCAGTTCTTTTTTGGATGAAGGATTACACAACTGATGTGTGTCCTTCTCAGTGAGCCACTTCAGGAAGCTATGACCCAGTCTGTATCGTTACTGGTGTTAACTTTAATCATGTGGTTAAGGTGGCATGCCACAGTTTCTTCTATGAAGTAATTGTTTTCTCCTCTTGTAATTAATAAGGACTTTTATTAACCAGGGGATAAATGAAGACTGTATAAACAAGCTGGAGAACTTTATAAAGGAAGGATCAAGCTGACACTGGAACCCAATGATAAATCTTAACATCACAAAGTAGGTATCTGATCATGGAAGTTCTGATATGATGTAAGAAGAAACAGTACCATCTGTGAAGTATTTTTGCCAAAAAACCCCTGAGAAATCCTTTCACATTAGCAGTTTATAAAAAGAGAAAAGAGGAAGGACTGAGGGACATGTTTTTAAAATGACATCATGAAGGGGCACCTGAGTGGCTCAGTATTGTCATAATGCTAAAAACTTCCTGTTAAGCCTAAATCTAGCCAAGCTTCTAAAGACTTTCAACAGGAAATACAGAGATAAACACGTTAAACACCAAGATGCAGCAATCAGCCAAATCTACAATGTAGAACACTTTAAAGACAAATGACTTAGTATCTCCAATTAGTTGATTAACAAAAAAAAAGGAAAAAGGGAGGAGATGAAACAGGTACTTAAGAGATCTATACCTCAAAAAACAATGTGGGAGCTCTGATAGGATCCTGACTTGAGCAAACCAACTGTAAAAATATATTCTGGAGATAATCAGGGAACTCTGGAGTCTGCCAGGTGAGAAAATGCTATAGTGGTATGTACCAGCTACAGATTCATACTTAAGTATTTACTGATGAAAGGACGTGATATCTAGAATGTGCTATTAAAAAAAAAAAAAACCCGGGGGGGGGGGTAAAAAAAAGCAGGTGGACAGGCTACTAGCACTATCCCAACACTATTACCTCCATAATACAGGAGCCACCACTCACAT